ATCTATCTATCTATCTATCTATCTATCTATCTATCTATCTATCTATCTAGCCTCTCTGAGCTAACAGGCTTTCACCCCTATCTGGTTCCTGAGTCTTTATTGGTAAAATCATATGTTTGAGGTTTTGTTAAAAACATGATCATCCAGGTGAATAGATCCTAGGGACTAGTGATGATGATGATGATGATGATGATGATGATAATAATAATAATAATAATAATAATAATAATAATAAAGTTCAAATGGCCATAAAGAAACAATCTGACACTTAATAAGACATTGTATGGCCCTGGTAACCCGCCCACCATAAAAATAAAGACGCCAAGACCTTCTAATATTTTAAAGCTTAGGCCTCAGCTGTGCAGACTCTCAGCTAGCTCATCTGAGCTAATACAACCACCTAGCCGTGTCCTGCCACATGGCTGGTTATGCACCTTCCAGACCCATTGTCACATCTGTCTCTTCTCCTTTCTTTTGTCAAAGGGACTTCCCACAGTCCCTTTCTCCCTACCGGGAAATCCTGCCTTCCACTTTCTGCCCTAGCTATTGGCCATCAGCTCTTTATTAAGGCAAATCAGAGAATAACTTAGGGAGGTGAAGAAGGACAGAGACAAACCTTCACACAGTGTTCCCAACAATAGGAGTAATGAAATAATAAGTTAGAAGTCTTTGTATGATTCTAGAACACCTGCTATTTTGTTCCGGTTGTGACCCACTTTTGCTGAATGAATTTTAAATAATTGGCATTAGAAACCAAACTGCTAAACATATGCAAAATTTTAGGACAATTGTGAAGGTAATGAAAATAGAAATGTATTACTTCCAAGGATATTCACACCTAAATGTGCAGAAATTTAGTAGTCATGGCCAACATTTGTACTCATAAATCTAGAATAAGGCAGTCCAGCATATGGTGACCCTTTTTTATCGAGTGACTTTGCAACTAGTTAGCTGCAAAAGACAGATGAAGGCCGGGTTATCTCAACATGGACTAGAACTGCGTTTATCACTGAGGAGGTTGGCATTGGGGTAGATTTAGTCTTCTGATTGCCGGCAGCATCTGACTCCCAGAAATTGGAACTGTACTCATAATCTTACTGCATGCTAGATTATATGACACAATTTTAACTTCTTAATCACATGGGCCACATGCAGTAAGCTGGTTTAACAGAAAAAAAAGATGAAAAAAAAAAAGCTAAGGTTAATCTTAGGTTGTCAACGTGACTTGACCTAGAATAAACTAAAACCTAAAATGGTAGACACTCTTATGAGGAATTTCTTAATCAGATTACTTGAAGCAGGAAGACGCACCCTAAATGTAAATGTCACCTTTTAGCCTGGATAAAATGGCCTAAAAGAAAACTATATTTTGCGTACTTGTTTTCTCTTGATTATAAGTTAGATTAGAGGACTATCAAGCAGTTAAACATTTCCAAAATGGCTACATAGTGGTTGACTACTGCAATTGTTACCTATATTGATTTTCTCATACCTCCATAGCTTCAACTAGTAACAAAACAAACAAAGATAAACCGAAATTATTTCAGACAGCAAAAGTAAGCTTCGCACTGTGAGCTCCCTGGATTCCTTGTACCACAAAATGGCCCTAAAACAGAGATGGTTCTTTGAGAAAAGTAACAACATAGACAAACTTTTAGCCAAACCAATTAAAAGGCAGAGAGACAATATCCAAATTAACAAAATTAGAAATTCAAAAGAAGACATTACAACAGACACTGAGAAAATCCAAAGATTCATTAGGTCATACTTTTAAAACCTGTACTCTATAAAACTGGAAAATCTGAAATAAATTAATACTTTTCATCATAGATACCACTTAGCAAAGTTAAATCAAGCTCAGATAAACAATTTAAAAAGATCTATAGCCCCTACAGAAATAGAAGCACTCATTAAAAGTCTGTCAGCCAAGAAAAAGCCAGACAAAGATAGTTTTAATGTATAATTCTACCAGACTTTCAAAGAAGAGTCAATACCAAGACTCCTCAAATTATTCCACAAAATAGAAGTAAAAGAAATTGCCAAATTTATTTTATGAGTTCACTGTCATCCTGATACCTAAACACAAGGATTCAACAAAACACAGAGCAATTTCTCTCATGAACGTTGATGCAAAAATATTCAATAAAATACTCACAAACTGAACCAAGAACATATGAAAAAAGAGATCATCCACCATGGTCAAGTAGGCCTCAGCCCAGAGATAAAGGGGAGGGTTCAACATATGAAAATCTGTCAATGTAATTAATCTACCATATTAAAAAAATACTGAAAGAAAAACCATGATCATCTCGTTAGATGCCGAAAAAACCTTTGACAAAATTCAACAACTTCTGTGATAAAAGTCTTGGAGAGATCAGGGATA